TTCTTATTTTGTCATTGACAATTTTTCTGTTGATGTTCGGAAGTTCAGAAATGCCTTGCATACTTGAAAATAAGTCAAAAAAAAGTCTTTGGCACCACACTAGACTATGGTGTCTTTGCCTTTGCCTAGGCACCTTTTTAAATACTAATACTAAGTTTTAAAAAGTAAAATTGTAAAATAATAAAACCTGTCAAACCTGTTGTAGGATCCTGGAGAGAGGTGTCTTAACACATTTTGTTTATTAAAATCAAACACTTCTGTCTTAAAACTTTTACCATTATGTGGGTTTTCCAACTTTACACTTTTATTTCTTCTTCTCTAAATTATTAATCTTGATGCTTGCTTTCCTGCCTTTTATTTGGAATCCCTTAGCAATTAGCATGACTTCCCTGAGGTGTCTTCATCCTTCAGTCTCAGCTAAGATATTTTGATAAGAGCTGTAAAAACGTGGGATGATCTGCTTTCTTTCTTTAAAAAATATAAAATAACATTTCTCCTACTGCGGATCAAAATAATGAAACCAAAACGTCTAAAGAGATATCTTTATCTAACAATGCTTTTAGTTCCAGTAGCTGTAAAATGTTCAGTAGCCCATGTTAAAGATAGCATCGTTTGTCAAAACAGTTTGTTACTATAATTTAAACACTGCATTTAATTCAAAATGCTTTAAAAATGATAGTTAACAATGGGTATTTATATACAACTGCTGTCATTTTGTTTTTCAAAAACATTTTGTTTCTTGGTGGTAAATTAATAAAATCCATAATCTCACTTTTAATACCAGTGGAATATTTTAGTAAGGCATGGATAAATAAAAGAATGACATGCATGCTGGTAGCAGCAGGGGAGGATAGGCTGAACACATTCTGAAAAACAAGCAACCTTTTTGAGTGAAAAATGGTAATGGTCATCTCATCAAGCTGTCTGTTAACCACTAAAGCTACATGATATTTGTTATAAACAGTATGGATGGAGGTGTGTAACATGTAAGGTAAATTCATAACTGCTACTTTTGTTTACACACTAACTGACCACCTCTCAACTTTAGGCGTTAAAGCCTACTTTTTTAATGGAATATAATCAAACACAGATCTTGCTATTCATATTGTACACTTAGTTTTCTGCCATGGCACCTAAGAGAGTTTCAAAATGTCATATCTGAAAGAACATTCCACAATAACTCACCTTTTTATTAAAAGCTTTATTAAAAAAAAAACATAATTCTAATTTTTCTTCATTTGCTAAGATTAGGTAGCAAATATTATCCCTCCTGCATGACACTCTCGAGAACATCAACATTTAAATGGTTACAGTCAAAAGTTGTAGAACAGCCCTTTTCAAAAGCCCAGACAATGTAAACATGTAAATGAAACATAAAAATTAAGGAGACTGCAGTTGCAGCTGATATGCTAAATGCTTCAAACCTGTTATAAGTAATTCAGCTGTGCATGTCACCCTGTCCCACTTACACTCAGAGTCCAGTTTCAAGTCAGTGGTCTCCAGTCGCAAATAATTGAAACCATTTTTGATGTGAAAATTATTTCTTGATTTGTTTACAGTTTAGAATATGTCCAGTACATGGCAGGAAAAAAATATCAAACAAACTTTCCAGAAAACTTTGGATTTAATTCAGTGGTAAACTGAGGAAAAAATGTGCAGTGTTGTCACCGTCACCACTTGAGCTTCTTTATATGCTATTACACCAACAGACTCTGCTAAAGTGCTGTTTATTATGTCACAACAAAAAATCAGTCTTACTTTAAAACTACTTGATTCATTTTAAAGAAAGCAGCTCACAAACACAATTAGGAGCTGAAGACGTCCTAAGAATTAGGAAAGTCGTCCCCCAAGATGCGGAGTGACATTTTAATTACAATAGAGATGAAGACAAACCAGATTCATTGTTTACCATTGTCCTCTGTGGTCTTGTCTGGTAATAAAGCTGTTATTACATTAGAACAACTTGAAAGAAGGGAAACTATTTTAAAAGCCGAGGAGGGTTCCGTGTGTACTGTTATTAAAAATTGGTTCGATACAGTACTGTGATGTACTCTCTAGGGAGTTGGCACACTTTACATTCACTTATGATTGGCCATTGTTTATGGATATAATGTGCTGTGTGGCAGATAAAGAGACAGGTCGGAAAGGAGATACAGAAATTGCCCTAGATGGATGCTGCTCTTATGGCAATGCACACAATGGGAGACTATTTCAAAAGCAGCCCTAGGAATTATGCTAAATGTTCAGATATGTAGGACATTGAGTGATGAAAAGCCGACAGGAGCATTCATCTTGGTGAACTGACTGTGGAGTGTGGAGTTACAAAAAAAAAAAAAAAAAAAAAAGCAATTCAGAAAATATTTACTGGGAAAAGCAAGATTTCGAGTCACATCAGACAGCTTTACTTTTCTAATCAACAAGTAAATGTTCAATTGCAAGGTCTGCTTTCCAGCTGTGGGCAGTAAATCAATGCAGGAATCAGTCAGCTGGACAACCGATGTAAAGATTCAGTTGGTGAGGTAAAAATATTGCTCTCGTTCTGTTTCTTTTTCTCACAAACACACACATTTCCAGCAATTCACAAATTAATTTGTGTCACCAAGCATAAAGATTTCCCACCTGCTGAAGTTGGTTCCTCACCATCTGCTGCTGTTGAGGCACAGATCAGAAAACAAGGCAAAGAAGAGAGAGAAAAAAATATTTATTAGTTTTAACACAACAATAGAGCAGTAGTCTGTGCACCAGCTGCATATCACACTGCTGATTCAACTATGTTATTTACTGCACGGTACACAGCCATATGTGCAGTAAGGTTTTACATGTTAGCAGTGGGAGTATTTACAGTATGTCAGTGACAAATATACAGGAACTGCCACCTGTGTAGGATTTTACATCCAGGCAACAGAAAAAATGTCTCCAATTTATACCCTGCAACCATACTCTGGCCTAGTTGGTGGCATTTGACTAATTTTTGATCATCTTTCTGAAACCAGTGCAGGATTAGCCCCCTGTGGCAAACATCCTTGGCTCCAGAGCCCCAGTTGAGCTCTGAATTTCCCCATTCAGATTGAAGTGAAGTGTTCCTAAGCATTAGATTCTCGTACCATGTCATTTTAAAGCATTTCCACGTACTGCACTCAACCACGAGTTATTTTTTCGATTTAACAACCTTCCAAAGTTCCGGGAGTGCCTGCTGACAAGAGTAAGTTCCTTAATGAAAATAAGTTCCTGCACTTTCAAACAAATTAGGCCTTGTGCAATAGTTCTGCATAACATGTCTATCTCACTGATAAGCACGAATGTTGTGTATGTACAGTATGCTAATAACAAATACATCTGCCTAGTCTCCGTTTCTACTACTGAAGTAGTATTTAATGTCAGGTACACATGTACTACCAAACTAGCCAATACCAATTTGGTTTTTACCCATGAAGAAGTCATTGTGCAGGAGGCAGAGAGAGAATGTAATGATTGCCAAAGTTTAATTAATTAAGAAATGAATAAAAATCAACATTCCAATCTTCACACTTTAAAACACGCACAGAGAAGATTTTTATTCTCTTTAGAAACAGTTTCCCCCCCCCCGTCAGGCTGACTTCCTATAGTGATTTTAAAAGATTTGTGGAGGTTTTAAAATGTTCATATACAGTATTACCCATCTCCAATGTAAAGCCTCAGAGCTCTACAGTGGTATGAAAAAGTTTGGGCACCCCTGATCATTTTCAAGATTTTCCTTTATGTGTCATTGGTTGTTCGGAACAGCAATTTCAATTAATCATATAGCAAACAAACACAGTGATATTTAAGAAGTGAAATTAAGTTTATAGGATTTACAGAAAGTATGCAATAATTACTTAAACAAAAGTAGACAGGTGCATAAATTTGGGCACCCTTGTTGTTTTATTGATTTGAATACCTTTAGCACTAATTATTGGAACACAAAATTT